TTTGCATCCACCGAACAATATTTTCCCTCCAGCGAAATTCAACATACAACCAATGTTCTTTGCAATAGCATTCTCCATTAAGAAATTACATCATGTACAATATTTCACTATTTTTTCTTGAATATAAATTGTATCTTGATGTATTTATCAGTTTTTTTTTGACATCATTTATTTTATATTCTTCTAGATTACTTTTTGGAATATCCATCAAAAGTTTCTTTATTCACAACTTTTCCTTTCTAGAATGCATGAAGCATTTATATATTGCATTTTTTGATAAGTAAATGGGAAGAAAAATCACATTCCTTACCTTTTTTTATTTTCTTATGCATTTCTTCTATTGTTTCTTCAAATCCCAATCTTAGTAAGTTTCTATATTCTTCTATTTGTTGCACATTTTCCTTTTCAAATTCATTCATTTTTTCTTCAGTTTTCTTATTCATTATCATTTCAATCTTTTCTTTCTAACTTATTTAGCTCTATCTTTATATTATTAAAAACATTATTTGTTAGTTTCCAACCAAAATGTGAATCTTGTGAGTGATAACATGGAAAATTGTATGATAGAAATAGATTTTCAAATTCTTTTCTGAATTTATTCTCATTAAAATTGTTTTCATCTTTTTCTTTTTTTGTATATGAATCCTTCATATATATATGTATTGTGTGAACCATCTTTTTTTTCATTTTCCAGTTTTCTTTTCTATGCATTATTATTACTCAAAGAAGAAGATTTTTTAAACTCTGTAAATTTTATATAAAAATATATATAAAAATATATATAAAAATTGTTTTGTTGTGCATTGCCTGATAATAATAGTAATATCAAAATTAATGGATCTTATTTATACTGGGATTAATTCCTTTTATGAAAAAAAATTAGGTGTGATGATTTTTTATGAAAAAATAAATCCAATTTAATATGTATATGTATAAAAATATAATAAGTACTTTTTTATGGGGTGCCATATCCGCCAGAATTACACCAAATGTAATGATTCTTATTTTTAAATATTATATGTAGTAAATTAAATATCATTGACCTTCCTATTTTCAATTATTCACTCTATTTTTTCTCATTTTTCAGCTTTATTTCAATTATTCAGCACATTTTTTTATTATTATTTAGCTTTATTTCATTTACTCAGCACATGTTTGATCATTATTCAGCCTTATTTCAATTATTCAGCATATATTTTTTATTATCCAGCAGTCTGGCACTTGTGCTTCTCTTATGTTGTTTTGTTTTGGCTACACGTGCTTTAAAACAATTAGTGACAAGCAATTTTTATTTCAGTGAAAGTATTTCAGTTGTTTCAACGGTTCTTTGTTTTAATGGATAAACCTATAGAGGCTTAGTTTAAATATTGTTCTGTCACCAAAATGTAAAACCCAAGTAAAACAAGTAAAAAAAAATTCTACCTCATATATAAAAGCCCTATATTTTATTCTCAACGATCGGCTCAGAAGTTTTACAGATTGAAGGTCTCCCCCAGAAAAATCACACTATCCCATTGCATGATATATTTTTCATTATCAAAAATATACTTTCTGATTTTCTGTATTTTTTCAACAATAAATTAGTGCATCAAAATTTTTATTTTTCCTAGTATGTATACCTGAGATTCATCCAAATCTGGAGGAAGTTAATTCTTTGACGAGGCTGATCCAAAGACATACACTTCATTTTCCTCAGCCATAAAGATTTTTAACTTAGATAAAACGTCTGCAAATTTCTTGAAATGTTGCCATCATATTGTTCCTTGAATTACACAGTATTTTAAACAAAAATAATTGCGATCACAAACCAACAAACCAATAAACTTTGTTCTCAAATTGTTCTTTTTAACATTTACCAACCTTTGATAGAATTTACGTATTTATACTCTAAACTCAGCAACTTCTTCTCGACTGCAAAAAGAGGATTTCAAAACGAGCGAATATCAAAAGTTTTAAAAATGTTGTATTTTTTACATACCATACTGAAAAAAAGTTTTATGTGGTTTATGTGTGTGCATATATTGGTAAATGCCCTGAAAATAAGCCATTTATTTGCAGAATGAATGAATAACGCACTACACTTTCATTAAGATTTTATTTCTGTTTCGTTTTCAAGAACATTTCTTGCTACGTTGCTGCTAGAGTCAGCCCTTAATCGACAAGATTTTAGTTCAAATGACGTAACTAGTTTGCAAACTTTGCCCTGCTATGCAAATTGTTTTGTGCTCTCTCACTTCAAAAACAAAAGAGTGTAAAGAAATGAATGATGATAATGCTCTAAAATTTACATAGCAGGACCAAAACTTGCTGCTTTGATACGCCTCAAAGAATGGCCACACTTTCTTTATTTTCATTTCAGAACCATGAAATATTTTGCCTGGCCAACTGAGTGTCATGGACGTCATGTTGAGTCAAACATTTTGCAGATGTTATAACTTTTGCTTTATACCGGTGATATCTTGTGTACTGCATTGGCGTCAATCCTGTCTCAATTGGGGGGACCATATTCATATAATCTGCTATGTTTGGCTAATTTCTTTTCAAAACAATTTCATTTTCAAAAAAAATCAGCCTGGCATAAAAGAATATATGAATATGTTCCCCCCAATTATAGCAGGATTGACGCCCATGGTGTACTGTAAACTGTGATATAATTTAAAGAGGCGATAACATTCCTGTACTCATTATGCAAACAAGTGATCATGATATAAAGGTAAAGTCAAGCCTCAAATAGATATTTACACTTATTAGTCAACCGTTTAATACGTTAAATAAAGCTGTTTGTACTGTAGATGTCAGTCAAATGGAAACTTTTAAAAAATTCAAAATTGTGTCTCCTGCTACGATCACCATTAACGTAAATTTCTCGCAAATCTGGCAATATATTTGTTAAGATATGGTCTCATATTCTTTCTGTAATTAGTAAATAATTAAGTCAAGTGTAACTAACTAAATGATTATTTTAAGAGATAGTTATGTGCAATAATCACAATACTTTTATCGTTCCTAATAGCTTTCCGTTGATTGTAAATTAAACATATTTAGTAAAGAAACAAATATATCCATACGTAATATCTCGTATAAATAGAAGTAGTTTAACCATTGTAAGATAGATCATAGACCATAGACACTAACGTTGAACATTAAATGTGATTGTAATAGTTATCTGTGATATTTCTATTTCTTGGTGTAAGTCAATATATACTAAAGAAGGTAGAACCTAACAATATTGACAAATTAGGACCAAGTTATCGGATACATCACTTGATACATGTATCGCAAACAAAGTCGAATGTCTTCTGAGGTTGAAGAGCTTTCCATCAGTGCGGAACTGAATGTACACCCCTTTGTCGAAGTCGCGGAAGGCGTCGAGCAGCATCGCTGCGAGCAGGATGGAGACGAGAGTGGGGGCAAGAACACAACCTTGCTTCACACCGTTCTTCACAGGAAATGGGTCCGATGTCTCCCCACTTTCCCGGACTCTTGCCTGCATGCCATCGTGAAAGGAGGCTACCAGAGAGACTAGCTTCTTTGGACACCCAAATTTTCCCAGGATCCTCGAAAGGCCTTCCCGATTAACGGTGTAGAATGCCTTAGTTAGGTCTACGAAGACCATGTGGAGTTCCTTGTTTTGCTCGCGACACTTTTCCGGCAACTGACGAATAGCGAAAACCATGTCAGTAGTTCCGCTGTCTGCCCGGAAAGCACACTGAGATTCAGGGACGATGGCCTCAGCAACATTTGTGATTAGCCTGTTGAGGACTACTCGGGCCAAAACCTTGCCTGCGATGCAGAGGAGGGATATGCCTCGATGGTTGTCACATGAGGTCTTATCGCCTTTCCTCTTATAGATGTGCACGACGGCAGCATCTTTGAAGTCCTGGGGGACCTTGGGAACTTTCCAAACCTCCTGGAACAGGGATGTCAGTTTGTCCAGGAGTGCCTAGCCTCCGTTCTTGTAGACGTCAGCTGGAATGCCATCAGCCCCAGGAGCCTTTCCAGACCTTGTCTGCCTGAGGGCTTTTGCAACCTCGTCGTTGGTGGGTGGGTCGGCAATTTCCTCTTTGATTGGCAGCCTGGGGGGAGGGACTCTATGGCTTCTTCGTTCATCTGTGACTCTCCATTCAGCAGTTTGTTGAAGTGCTCAGCCCAGCGTGAAAGTATGTCAGCTTTGTCTGTTGGCAGTGTCGTTCGGTCTGCAGATCTGATGGGGGTAGAGCCTGACGATTTTGTACTGTACACCGCGTGAAGCCCATCGTGGAGCTTTTTTGAGTCGTGAGTATCAGCTGCCACTTGGATTTTTTCGGCTTTCTTTTTCCACCAGGCGTTCTTCATTTCCCGCAGCTTGTGTTGCACATGCTGCCTCACTTGCTGGAAGTCTTGCTTCTTCTTCTCGCAAGCTTTGTCCCCTATAAGGTCGCTGTGAGCCTTATGGAGCCTATCAATAAGCCTGTTGATCTCAGCATCATTCTCGTCAAACCAGTCTCGATGTTTTCGCTCAACGTATCCAAGGACACTCGCTGCAGAGTTGTAGACGGCTTCTTTGAAAGTGCTCCAGTCTTCCTCTATATCCTCGCTCGTGATGTTAAAGTTTCCAAGGGCTACCTCTAGTTTCTCTTGCAGCTTTTCTTTGATGGGTGGAATGCGAGCTACATTCAACTTCCTCAGTGGCTTCTCTCTTGCTGATTTGTTCTTTCTGGCAAGCTGGATGTTCATCTTGCTCTGTAGCAGGCGGTGATCAGACCAGCAGTCGGCACCTCGCATGCAGAGTGTGATGTGCACGTCTCTGCGGTCCCTCTGGCGGACGATTACGTAGTCCAGCATGTGCCACTGTTTGGAGCGAGGGTGCATCCATGTGTTCTTCAGCTTGTCAGCTTGTTGAAAGAGAGTGTTAGTGATGGTTAGCTCGTGCTGTGCGCACAGAGATAGTAGCATCAGGCCATTGGAGTTGCACTTGCTAGTTCCATGACGACCCAGGATGCTTGGCCAGATGGTGTAGTCTACTCCAACTCGTGCGTTAAAGTCTCCAAGGATGATGAGTTTGTCTCTGCGGTCAACACTGGAGAGTAGCTGGGCTGGTTGAGCTCTTCGTAGAAGGCTTCCTTCACTTCATCTGGGTTTGTCATTGTAGGGGTGTAGGCGCTGACAATTGTTGCGTTGCAGTCTTTCTGAAGTTTCAGCCGCAGGATCATGAGGTGATCGCTGATGCCCTGTGGCAAGCTGACTAGTCGCCTTGCGAGCTGAGTGCGTATGGCAAATCCCACGCCTGAGTGTCTTGGGGAGTTGTCCGGTTTCCCAATGCAGTAGAAGGTGTAGCCACAACCGACCTCTTCCAGTTGAGTTTCATCTGCAAGTCTGGTCTCACTCAATGCGGCTATGTCCACCTGGTAGTGTCCAAGCATACTTGCTATTAGAGCAGTGCGTTGCTCTGGTCTGACTCCTCTGTCCAACAACGTTCTCACGTTCCATGCCCCAATGGTTAAGCGCTTTCTTGTTTTGTTATCCTTAGTTGTACAACCGCTTAGTTGGATGCCCAGGCAGGTGCAATTCCTGCCAGGTGCAAGTAGGGCAGGCTTTGTTCAGGGATCCTTTTATCTCCCCTTCCCCATGTGGAGAGAGCAGTGCTAACCCTAACAAGGGCTGCTCTGTCACTGCGAGAGAATACGGGCGCCGTATCTGCCCTAGGTTTATGGTGGACGACCATCAATTCGCAGCCACCTGCGTGCAGAGTCATGGCTAAGAACTTCCAGCAGCATCCTCTGCCTGTTGCAGTCACCATTTCTCCATCGCCACAGGACTTGAGATAGCTTGCGCAAAAAAGGGATGGTTGCATCACTTGCTTCCGGCAAACCTGCTTGCCTGACTAGCACAGGTGAATGTTTTAGGTGAAGAGGGGATGTACATGCCCGTCTCCACCCTCTCGCCTACTGACGCTCAATAATCCACAGGTGCAGAAGCTGCCACGTGTAGAGCAGCCCCAGCAGGTGCAGCTTTCTTCTTCGGAGTTCCATCTCTTAGCCTTTCCCATGACCGAGTACACCGCAAGGCAGCGGCAGTTTGGAGTCAGGGTTTTCCTCCCCTTAGGTGGGCTACCTTCCTGGGTTAACGAGCCACCACCTGCCCGAAGCATCTGGTTTTAAGGCGCCAGAGACCCGCCTTCGCCCCTTCTCCTGTCGGTAAAAGCAGTTCCGCCGGGCTTAGAAGTAAAGCCACACGAGCAGGCCAGGAGTTGGACTTGGTTGACAGAGGCTGTTTGAGACGCACGCCGTAAGGAGCATTTTGTAAACACCGGGAGCTTATGCCCGGAGCCACTCCTGAATGTGTCAACTTTTGAAACCCATTGTAATATAATCTATTCATAAATGTATAAATTGTATCACAGTATCATATTACTCTTATATATATTCATTACATACATAATATTCCTTAGAATACTGAAGATGGCATCATGAGATGTTGAAACATGGTTATTTTAAAGAAAACTTGTCATTTTTTTAAATGCGCAATATCAATAGTGCTTTTACGCAGTTACGAAAATAGAGAACGTTAAAAAAGAAAGTAAAACTTTTTTAATAGTAGGGAGAGCATGAATGCTTTATAGAAAACAGAGAGCATGAATGCTTTAGAAAACAGAGAGCATGAATACTCCAGGAAACAGATAACATCAATACTTTACCAAAAAGAGAAGATAAATATCTTAGAAAACAGCCAATACCTCTGAAATATCATTTCTTGCAGTTTGGATAGCATGATATTGTTATTCCTTAATTTCAAATTACGTTCTTTCTAAAGGCATTTTACCCATAGTCAAAAAACTAATCTCTTTAATATAAGAATGGAACATACTTCCCACAATGACTCAGACAAACAGAAAATAGATGTAATGCAGCTGTACTCGTTGGCCTGTTAGAAATGTACCATGAAAAGGCCGATGACAATTTCCCAAACGTCACACACAAGACAGGAGATTATATGAGTAATTTTGCGAATTGTCTATGCATTAGGGTCGAAAATTGGGACACTTGTGTCATGTGACACTAACAAGATGGAAGACCAAGTAATTTCAGTGGTAATATTAAGTTGACTAAATTTAAAATTTCAAAGGTTGCTCCTAATTAGCAATCACAAAGTATTAGAATGAGTTTTTGGTGTGTACTTTGAGCTCTCTGTATAGTACACAAAGCAATTGAGACTCCGTATAAAGTAAACATTATCTTTTCTAAACGTTCCGATAAGTATTACATGTCATCATCATTCACCAATGGAATATTTGAGCTTTGTAGTCTGGCCATTTGTTATCATCATCATAATGATCAACATTTGCTATCTGTAATGCCGTAGACAGTACTGCCAGCGACGTGCCCAGACAAAGTGATCTCATCTTTTCATCTCTGAAAAGTTATCTCATCCAACCATCTTTAAGAGGTTGACTGCATTGCTAAAACATCAAGGGTAACACATGGCGATTCATGGCCGTTGTAGGTTAGATACCTGGTCTCTCAAGAGCATCTTGTGAGTTATGTGCCAGCTGGACTTGTTCCTTAAACTGCTGGAGAACAGTGTGATTAGACCAGGTGCTGTCTTATCTCGTAGGTTAGTTGGTCCCAGGGTCCATCTGCCATGACTTGCCATTGTGCTACCTTCATCCGCCATCCATCTTGTTCCGTTTTGGTAATTTGCTGTCCCAAACTATACTTGTCTGGTTCCGGGTGGAGCTCCGTTGATGGACTGCATAACATCTAGCAGTAACCGAATACTCCTGCATCTGAGGTCACCACCAGTCGTCTCGACACTGTCTTGCCACTGGATCCACGTGATTTCAGAGAAGAGTGAGGTTGACATCTGCCAGCTTTTCCTCACTATAATAAATTCCTGCATACGTCTTGGCAACACCACTTAACCTAGAAGTTAAGATTTTTTTTCCTTAAGCCCTGTGGCGATGGGCGAGCGACGAAGCAGCAGGTGTGGATACACTGGGAGCTGTAGTTGCAGACCTGCACACAGGCGGCCCAGGTCTAATGGTTGCTTTCGTACTGACTGAAGCAGCAGTGAACTCGGCGTCTACCTGGGTGTCTGAGCAGCTCTCTTTAGGGATGCACTGCTCACCTCACATGAGAAAGGGACTAGAAAAGGTGTCCTAGAAAAAGCCTGCTTCAACCTTCATCCTGGCCAGCAAGCCGCGGTTGGCGGGAATCCCACACCTGCGGTCGAAATAAAGGAAAGAAAAAATTTAAGGTTACACCGATAACCTTAGGCACATGGAATATGCGTACATTACTTGACAACCCTTCATCAGACAGACCAGAGAGGAGAACTGCTTTAGTTGCCAGAGAACTTGCAAGATATAACATCGACATTGCAGCACTGAGTGAAACTCGTTTCGCTAATGAGGGGCAGCTGACTGAATATGGAGGTGGCTACACTTTCTTCTGGAGTGGCTGTTCTGCCGATGAGCGCCGGGAGTCTGGGGTAGGTTTTGCCATCAGGAACCATCTTGTGCAAAAGCTTGCCAATCTCCCTAAAGGTACAAACGATCGTCTCATGTCAATGCAGATTCAACTACATGATGGTAAACGGGCCACACTCATCAGTGCCTATGCACCTATAATGAAAAATCCTGAAGATGTGAAAGACAGATTCTACGAAGATCTGGATACTATGCTTTCATCCGTGCGCAGTACTGATAAGCTGATCCTACTTGGGGATTTTAACGCAAGGGTAGGCCGTGATTCTGCCTGGGATGGAGTCATTGGAAAGAGTGGGGTAGGCAAGTGCAACAGCAATGGCCTGCGCCTGCTGGAGTTATGTTCATCGTATTGTCTCCTTATAACCAATACCATATTCCGGCTGCCCAACAGGAACAAAACATCATGGATGCACCCCCGGTCGAAACACTGGCCTCTCATCGACTACATCATTGTCAGGAAGAAAGACAGGCAGGATGTCAGAATTACCAAGGCCATGTGTGGTGCAGAGTGCTGGACCGACCACAGACTCATCATTTCTAAAATGAACATCCGCATCAAACCAAAGAGACGTCCACAGTGATGCATGACCAAAAAGAGGATAAATGTTGCCAAGCTGAAAAAATATCAAACAAGTGCAGCTCTATCCACAGACCTAGAATCCCAAATTGCCAACTTCAATCCAGGAGGTAACGTTGAAGAAGACTGGGAATCCTTTAGGGACACAGCTCACTCAACTGCAGTGAAAGTGTTGGGCTACCCTTCCCGATATCAACATGATTGGTTTGATGAGAATGATGAGGAGATTCAGGCCCTACTTGATGAAATGCAGACTTCATCGTGCGTACCAAGATGATCCAACTTCAGTCTACAAGAAGAATGCCTTTGCCAGTGCACGGAGAACAGTTCAGTGTAAGCTGCGGGTGATGAGAGATTCCTGGCTCAGTGCTAAGGCTGATGAAATCCAAGCCTATGCCGACAGAAATGATACAAAGCGGTTCTATGAAGCTCTCAACACCATATATGGACCTCGATCGTCAGGAAATTCCCCTCTATTGAGCTTAGATGTGACTTCACTCAATACCGAGAAGGAAAAGATCTTGCATAGGTGGGCTGAACATTTTGAAGCTGTCTTCAACCGTCCTTCTTCCATCAATGATGACGCAATAGACAGGTTGCCCCAGGTCAACATCAACACGACCATGGATGTTCCACCCCTTGAATCAGAAGTCAGGGAGGCGATAAACAAGCTCTCTAGTGGTAAAGCCCCTGGTGAAGATGCTATTCCATCCGAGATATATAAAGTTGGTGGTCCCACATTTATCCAGAAGCTCACTGACCTCTTCCAATCCTTCTGGGCTGAAGGATCCATCCCCCATGAATTGAAAGATGCCTCGATTATTCACCTATACAAGAGGAAGGGCAACCGTCAGTCCTGTGATAATCATAGTGGCATCTCACTCCTATCAATAGCTGGGAAAGTTCTTGCCCGAGTGTTACTAAACCGGCTAATACACCACCTTGAAGAAAGACTGCTACCAGAATCACAGTGTGGTTTTCGTAAGGGCCGTGGAACTGTTGATATGATTTTCGCAGCCCGAAAACTCCAGGAAAAGTGTCAAGAGCAGAACCAAGATCTGTACACCACCTTTGTCGATTGGACAAAAGCTTTTGACACAGTCTCCCGTCAGGGCCTGTGGAGAATTATGTCCAAGTTTGGCTGTCCAGAGAAGTTCACCTTGATGGTTCGTCAATTTCACGATGGCATGTTGGCCAGAGTACTAGTTGATGGTGAATACTCCGAACCCTTCCCAGTCACAAATGGTGTCAAACAGGGCTGTGTATTGGCTCCAACATTGTTCAGCATGGTTTTCACTGCCATGCTAACTGTGCTTATCACTATGGTGTAGATGGTATCAGCATCAAATATAGAATGG